AGGATTGCACTAGCAGCATGTTAAAACATTGCGTGATGGTATTAGACGTATCCACATTTCCAACTACTATTTAAAATTATTTCCGCATAAGTTTAAAGTTTTATTAGAATGATGATATGTTACGCTTATAATATTGGCATTTATTGTGTACGTATGCATGATTTAGCAACTTCAAACGTAGATAATGGTTTTTGATCTTCATTAAAAGCAAAATGAGAAGTGAATTGAAAATAATTGTTGCCTGAAATCGTGAGGTGTCATTGATATGTTAATATATTGGGATTTGGGGATGTTGAAAAAAAATTGTAATGTTGTGTTGTTTATTTAACAAAATAATACTCTACCAAACACAAACAACCACAACTAACCACGATCAACCACAATTAACCACAATCAACTACAACTAACCACAACCAGCCAATGTTTTATGAGAAATGTTGTGTTGTTGTGATAATAAAATATTGCAATGTTGAGTGAAAATGCATATGCAGTGTATTATTTTGTTGTTATGAATTTGTAAATTTGTAACGTTCCAAATGTGGCTATGTTGGGTTGTTGCAAAATGTGACTAAATATTATTTCCGAACATTAATATTTATCGAATTATTTAGAATTCATAAAAACTTTTCAAAATGTTGCAAAAGTGTTGTCACAAATGTTGCATGATCATTTCAACATCTCCACAGATGTTGCAAGATAATTTCAACATCTCCACAGATGTTGCAAGATAATTTCAACATCTCCACAGATGTTGCAAGATAATTTCAACATCTCCACAGATGTTGCATGATTATTTCAACATCTCCACAGATGTTGCATGATAATTTCAACATCTCCACAGATGTTGCATGATCATTTCAACATCTCACCTAAATAATTTCTACTTGACCGTGCAAACAAGATTGACAGAAGTTGAATGGCAAATTCGTCAAGCTCGTTATCATTGCGCAATTCACGAATAAATAAGATTCTGCATGAGACTAATTTAATTCAGAATTATTTCTCTATGTATAAAAATTGCGATATTGAAAATAATATTTTGTCACGTAGACACACCCTAGCAACCCCACAAACAATTCCCAACAACCCCATAACAACATTCCTGCATTTGACTGGCAAGAAACAGCATGACAACCTAACTCTATGAAGACCGTTCGGTCATGCGGTAATCACATTTCACTTCATTTCACTTCATTCTTCATCCCATTTCACTTCATTTCACTTCATTCCTCATCACATTTCCTTTCCTTCATTTCACTTCAATTCACTTTTAATAATTTAATAATATAGCTTCTAACTTCTATCTCTGGGTTGCAACTTTTAAATTTTCGTGACTCTTACGCTTCATTTCGAAAAATTGTAAAAATTTATAGAAAAAATATTTTAAATGCTTAAAGGAATTTTGCAAGTGTCTTTAAAAATGAAAATGATTAAATGCAATTGCATCACGTGGTTCTTTGTTGTTCTTTCACTGAAATAATAAACTAAATTCAGCACATATTTGTCATAATGTAAAGAGTGTTCAATCGGAATGAATTCTTTTCTGGTCCCAACTTTCAATCACTATGTCACAAATCATCCCAAACACATCTTTGCATATTTAAAGTTTGAGCCTAAACTCACGTATATAAGACAAACACATACACATATAAACACTCACAAGCACGTTACAAGGACATACATCTACACATACATAGACACGTATAAAATGTCAGCTTACTATGAATACACACACACACACATACACACGCACACACAGACTATCTTTCATAAAACAACCACGTTCCCAAAACAAGCAGACAGAGAGACAAGCGACGCGCAGATATGATGACGGGCACATGAAAACATCATTTGAAATTCAATTCAGTTTTTGTACAGCGGTCGACGATAAATGTTTATATGGTATCTGTGAGCATACGTATGCTTTGTCTGATGTATGTGCGTATAATATAAATACACGTGTGTTTTTGTCTGTGCGTAAATGTATGTGTACGTGCATATATACGTTTATACTTATATTTGTTCGTACGGGCTTATTGTACATTTGTACGTATGTATATGTGCACGCGCGTATGTGCGTGCGCATGTGCACATGTATAAGTGTATTTCTATATGTGCGTATGTTCATGTGAGTCTGTATATATGTGTGAACATGTAGGTTCATGCATGTCAAGTTCAACGGACTACACGTGCCGTCACGTTTAGAACGCGATAAATAAAATGTTTGAATATAAACGTGATGTATTTTTGAACATGAAACATGAAAACTCTGCAGTCAAATAAGAGAAACTTTCTGTCCCATGAGGTGTGGCCACTGTATGTTGTTCCTTCTTTATATATAAACACAATATTATTTAAATATATATCTTCGAATGAAGCAAAATAACGCATACAAAGAAAAAACTAATTAAAAATTCTTTTCTTAGAACTATAATTGAGTTTATTTCAAATTTAAAAATTGTTAAATATATTTATTCTTTCATTTCAGACAATGACTTTCATTTTGGACAGCTTTTATAAACAATTCATTATAACAACATAAAAACTTTTAAAAACATTTCTCGATGGACATCATTATTTTAATAAATTTTACAAAGCCGACATGATTCATCTGAAAAAAGTTTGACTCGTCATGCAAAATGTAGCCATGCAACTACGGTAAGAAGAGCAGGGCGATAAACATGATGCAGGGTTTAGAACTGGATGAGCTCTTCTGTAAGACCCCCGCTCGTATTTCTATGAGATCAATATGAATTATGCCGACAGGCGGTTTGTTCTGGAGAAACATTTGCACGATGCAAGAGGCCAAAAGACACTCAACCAACGGAATATTTACATGGAGAGCTTGCGATATTGGTACTGTTGGTGTTATTGCTATATATTAACATGCAAATCATCACCGGTTGATATTTGTGATGATTATTTTTACTGACATCTATAATAATAATTAACAGTACTGCTACTGAAAATTCGTGATTACTGGAGCTTTCTCCGGAACGATGGAAGATTTCGCCGGATTATTGAAGAAAATAATTTGGAAATTTTATTATGAATGACAGATAAAATTTATTGAAGTTTTTTGTTTGAAGGTTTTTGCTCGAGAGTTTCATCCGAGAAATTATACACTGAATGTTTTTTGCAATAATAATTTATTATTTTTTCAGGTTTGATTTTGTTAGAGGTTTACAAACACACACACACACACACACACACACACAAACACACACACACACACAAACACACACACACACACACGTAAATTATATGTGGGTGTATGTGAGTACGTGCGTGTTAAATTTTCTGAAAATTTTTGATAATTGTCTTTGTAGATGTGTTCAGTGATCATTTGTGTGAGTCTGTAATAATGTGTGGTTGGATATAAAGGTGAGGTGATAATGTTGTGATGATGGTAGTAGTAGTGATAACGATTAGTACGATGATTTTTTCCGGTTAGTAACAAACACAGCAATGCCACCATGTATGCCAACATTTTTGAAAAGATACATCATTATCGTTATTACCATTACGATAATTTTATCTCATTATTTAAAATATAACCAAATTCCGACAATCTTCAAAGGTCCCTAAATGCTCCTGTAGTCAGAATTCACTAATTCCAAAATTCTATTTATTTAAAATTCAAAAACACAAAATGAAAAAAAGACAGATTGCAATTGTGTTTGTATAACTGATATCTTAGATTCAAATGTAGCTGTAACGTGGCAATTAATGAATAAAAGAATCTTTTTTTCATTTTTCCAGCCACTAACAACCGAACTAATAAATGGTATTAATAAATGATATTAATATAGAAATTATATACAACATAAACAATTGTTGTGGCGCACTTAATCGAAGGCGCCACACGCACGCACACAAACGCGCACGCACACAAACACACAAACACACACGCATACAAACACCCCCACAAGCATATGCACACATACACACACGCACACAAACACACTCGCATACAAACACTCACACACAAATACACACACACACAAACATATACAAACATACACACAGCCATACACACACAAACATAAACACACAAACACACACACACAAACGTTTTTTGTGCCTAGTTGTGCATGTGCGTAGAGTAGCGATGTTGATGGATGCGAGCAATTAGGTAGTGCACTGGCTTTCCTTAATGTTATTACACAACAAAATATTATTGTTTGTTGCATTGTGCGTCTCAGTGATGATAAAAATGAAGTGGTGGTGGTGATGATGAAGATGAAGATGACGGTGATTGAAGATGATGACGATGGTGGTGATAAAAAAAGATGATGTTTAAAAGATGATTAAAATGCTGATGATGAAGATAGAGTAATGATTATGACGATGAATATGGTGATGATAAAAATAATGATGAACATATGATGATGATGATGATGATGATGATGATGATGATGATAAGAAGAATGATAGTGATAAAAAAAATGTGAAAGGATAAAGTGAAGCAGAGGATGTGTGTGCCTGTGAGTAAAGGAATGTAATAATGAGCAGTAGTTGAGGATGTTTGTAGTATTTGCAGCTGCAGTAGTATCAGTAGCTGCAGTAGCGGCCACAGAAGCACTAGAAATCATGCAGCTAGTAATATAGTAATTGCAGCAAATGTTGTAAAATATGATTCTTTTGAGAAGTTACTCAGCGATTAAGTAGTAATTTACTCTCTCTGGGTTAGTCTCAATATCATCTGGAAAAAATGCTATCAGACATTTGCTATAACTAAAAAATTTGCGAAATATGTTCCGTAAGATATTGCATATAAAGGAAAAGATGTTGAAACAATGAAGCAATACATTGCGCTTATATGGATATATGGAAGGATGGATGGGGTGTGCCAGTTCCGTTGTGTTGTGTTCGGTGGTTGCAGGAATGTACGTGTAGTATCAGTAGGGGAGATACATGTGAAACAAGTAAAGAAGATACATGTGGGATAAGTAAAGAAGATACATATGAAATGAGCGAAGAAGATACATGTGGGATAAGAAAATACATATGAGATAAGTAAAGAAGATACATGTGGGATAAGTAAAGAAGATAGATATGAAATGAGTGAAGAAGATACATGTGGGATAAGTAAAGAAGAGACATATGAGATAAGTGAAGAAGATACATGTGGGATAAGTAAAGAAGATACATGTGAAATAAGTAAGGAAGATACATGGGAAATAAATAAAGAAGATATATGTGAAACAAGTAGAGAAGATACATGTAAGATAAGTAAGGAAAATACATGTGAAATAAGTGAAAAAGATACATGTAAAACAAAAAAGATACACATGAAACAAGTAGAGAAGATACATGTAAGATAAGTAACAAAGATACATGTGGAATAAGTAAAAAAGATACATGTGAAATAAGTAAAAAAGATACATGTGAAATAAGTAAAGAAGATACACGTAAAATAAGTGAAGAAGATACATGTGAAACAAAGAAGGTACATGTGAAACAAGTAAAGAAGATACATGTGGGATAAGTAAAGAAGATACATGTGAAGTATGTAAAGATACATGTAAGATAAGTAAGGAAGATACATGTGAAACAAGTAACGGATAGACAGCGGCAGCAGTGGTTAAGCAATAATTTTATAATGTAATGACGTTGGCAGCAGTTCTAATTCATTTGTGACGTTCATGTGACAGTCATTAGGAAGCATGCCTGCGTTCTGCTACTACTACACTCGCCACTAGCATGAGTGAGTATTGCAGAGTGAGGAGTGAGTGAGTAGGAGTTGCGATGATGAAGATGATCGTGATTAAGATGTTGGATGATGGTTATGCTGATGACTGGGTCTGTAGTAATGGTAAGAATAGTGTGGGATGATGACAATGATGATGATATGAAGGCTTCTTTCTCGTTCGTTTATATTTATACAATGGTGTTCAAATTGTTTTTTTTTAATTTTATAACATTTAAATTTTTCATAAACAACATCTTTTGCAAAATAACAGTTCGTTAATTGAATAGTGACACGCCATTCATTCTATTTAACTAATGTCTGAGTTATTTTTTGAAATTTGATTGCAAAACAATGAAAACAATTCCAACTTATATTTATATTTTAATTAGCCAACGACAATAGTCCTCCTAACAAAAACCAACACAAATGATTTCATCCCATCAAGACAATCGAAAATTGAAATTAAAATAACTTGCAGTAATTAAGAGACTGCTCTATTAATTATGCCCGGAGACGTGTCTAATTAAAGGAGAAATTAATTAAATTTTGGCTCCAGAGGTTTTGAATAACAGAAGATATTTTTGGGTAATGTTTAAATATTTTGTATTTTGAATCAGAAATAGATAGATAAATAAGAGAGAGAGAAAGAGAGAGAGAGAGAAAGAGAGAGAGAAAGAGAGAGAAGAGAGAGAAGAGAGAGGAAAGAGAGAGGAGATAGAGGATAGAAGAGAGAGGGAAAAAATAAAAGGAATGATAAAGGGAAAAGAGAAGGAAAGAAAGAGAAACAAAAAATAATAGAGAGAAAAGTAGAGAAAATCAGAGAGACAGCATTTGTACAAACCTCTCTCTTGAAATTGAAATACTTACTCACTGGTTTGCAGCGCGATCGTATAATTAAGAGGATGTTTCTTCGGATAAATTAGAGCAAATTATTAAAAAATTTGTATACTTAAATTATCATCGTTGTACTTATCACGTTTAACTTGTTCTGATTATAATGTTACAAAATTGAAAACTTTTCCAATTTTACAAAAAAAAACTTCAAATTTTTTATTTAACATTCATTTTCCCATTCTGTCGAACAGCAAACCAGCTAAATGCGTCAACATAAGGATGAAAAAACTGACGCAAGAATCAAGTTGACGAATAATTTAAAAAAAGCTTCTTTAAAAATAGAGTAATTGAGAATAAGATCACTCTGCCACTACACTTAGCATCCAAACTCAACCTAACAGCCTACGAAACGAAACAAAATGAAACGAAACGAACTAGATTTATTTTGCTACGAGGATGGCCAGGATAAAAACAAGTAAGACATCGTAACATGAATCAACAATCAACGCTACAAAACTTACAACAAACAAAACATACAACATAAGAATAAATGCATGCCACCATTTATTCATTTACAACTTAACAAATAAAATACTTTGAAGCTTTCAAAATCGCAATAACGTCAGATTACATTCACAACAACACAATGAAAATTTTTGCGGCAACCGTTGCCAGCATTCGTATACAACGAAACAACAACATTTGTAGACAACACCATTCGAGAAAGTACAAAAGGCTTAAAATATTTCGCAACAAAACAAACACTGAAGGATGGAAGGCAAAGGCAAACAAAGACATGATAGAAAAAAAGTAAGAAAGAAAGAATGACACCCAGCTTCCAATCCATTCATCCATTCTTCCTTTGCATCGTAATGAAGCAAAAACACGTTCACATCATTCCAATTTTTTTGTTTCTTCAACATTTCTCGAATATTTTTATCTTTTACTAAAGTTTTTTTCAATTTTTAATTAAAATTTTTTAGTTGCTTGATTTTTTTTCTTTCATTTATAAATGACAGTATAAATTCGATTTCATTATTTGAAGATTTAAAAGTGGGAGGACAGTTTAATTCCAGAGGATTAATTTTTAAAAATATTTGTTTCTTTTTGTTGTTTGTTTCTTTTTGTTGTTTGTCTTTAGTGTGTTTTTTTCAACTCATGAGGTTTCATTTGCTTAAAATATTATTCTTTTATTCTTTTGTGAGTTTTTTGTTGCAATAACCAATAATCCTTTTTATTAAATTATATAACAGCTTTTTAATTCATTAACATAAATTTCATTCCATTTCAATTGGAAAATATATTTATATATATACATATATATGTGTGTGTGTATGTGTGTGTGTGAGTGTGTGTGTATTTCTGTGTTTCAATTTGTTTATTTGTTCCTATGATTACATACATTCATCATTCATATATGTGTATATAAATATATATATAAACGTATATGGCTTATATATATATATATATATATATATATAAATTGTTTCTAGAAAAGTGGTTAATAAATAGTTTCATAAAGTTTAACGATGACGTCACAATCCCACCCACCCCGTCGTCCAGAGCCTCTTCCTGCTTTCATCATGTTGTTGTAAATTAAAATTACTTGATGAAGGGACTACTGAGAAAGACTTCTTTCTAAGAAACTTTTCGTGGGGTCATCCCGAAGGAAACAGCACATTACATGCATTACATTACATTACATTACATTGCATTGCATTACATTACATTACATTGCATTATATTACGTTGTATTGTAAATACATCACATTACATTACATTGCATTACATTACATTGAATTACATTACATTACATTACATTGTATTACATTACATTACGTTACATTACATTGCATTACATTACATTACATTTACATTACATTGCATTACGTTACATTACATTACATTGCATTACATTACATTGCATTACATTACATTGAATTAAATTACATTACATTACATTGCATTACATTACATTACATTGCATTACATTACATTACATTACATTGCATTACATTGCATTACATTACATTACATTGAATTAAATTACATTACATTACATTGCATTACATTACATTACATTACATTGCATTACATTACATTACATTGCATTACATTACATTGACCTGTATTATATTAAGTTGTATTGTAAATACTTTACCTCACATTGCATCGCAAAGCATTGCGGCTTGAGATCACCACATTACAGCACATCACATTACATGATTTTTAAGAACATCTCATTACATCACAACACATCTCATCACATCCCATCTTATGACAGTACATCACATCACAACACATCACATCCCATCACATCCCATCACAACAAATCCCATCACATCACATCACATCCCATCACATCACATCCCATCACATCACATCCCATCACATCACATCACAGCACAGCACAGTGTAACTTAAAAATAGGACTCCATCATTAGAGGCCAGTGCAACAAACTGGCCAATAAAATTGAATTATAAACCTATAAATGTTGGAAGCGGAGAGGACATTTGCACAATCGCTAATTCCTCCCTGGCCGCAATGCAATCTCCTCAATAGAAACTTTATTCAAAACACAGCCTACATTAAACACACACACACAAGTATCTATCTAAGTATATGAACGTTTCATTATATGCTTGCATATAATGATAACGCTAGAAGATTTATACACATACATACACACACACACCACACACACACACCACACACACACACACACCACACACACACGCACACACATACACACACATACAAACCAGAACATAAAATTGTTATATTCGCTGGAATGGACGGAATTAGTTATCATCAATTAATTATTGTTATCTCGTTATATTTGTTATCTTTGCTATTTAACATTGATTGTTAAACCACAGAACCTTTTGATCTACTGTCGAGGTTATGTGAGGACTTGAGGTTTGAAGCGAAGTTGTAATTGTGATTTATGTAGTTACTTGGATTAGTTTAGTGTTTCTATTATTATTATTAGCATTTGAATAAACGTTCAACAAAATGTTTGCGTTTGAAGCAGTTGTGTTCATCTATCTGAAATCTTGAACCTACGGAATAACGAACACTTGACGATCGTTGGAAGCTACAACACTGGTGTTGGAAATATAGATCATTGAAGTTGTTACATCGGCTTCTGTAGTAATGAGGGTCAAAGTTTACAAGTCTATCTATATTTGTTTGAACATATCTACCAACAGCAATATTTTTTCACAATTTTTAGTTTTCATTACAAAGTGGATGCAATTAAGCATCACAATCCGGCCCAACCTTTAAGGTTGATTGAAGTGTTTCACACTTAGAATTGTATGACATGGAAGAAAAGAGCATCTGAATGAAGCGGCAAGAATTATGTCTGGTGGAAGTGTAGTGGTTGATACATATTGAAAAAAAAGTTGTAGACTCTGTGTGAGTGTGTTTGTGTGTTTATATGTGTGTGTGTGTATGTGTGTAAGAGTTTGTATGTGTGTGAGAGAGAGAGAGAGTGTGTGTGTGTGTTTGTGTATGTGCTGTTGGTATTTCTCAGTTCTCCTACATGCCTACAAACCATACAATTAAGTTATAAAATTCTCAGTGGAGCAGTAGTGAGATGAAACAGCCAGTATTATTCCCAAAACCATAACGGGAAAATAAAGTTTCCCCAATAATAATATTTAATATTGTTGATAGTAACATTTAAGAAACGTTATTTATACAGAAAACGTTTTAAAATTATCATCAATACCAGAAATTGGTTCTCAAAATTCATTAAAATGTCACACAATGAAAGGCCATCTTCTTTTTTTCATAGGCAGTTGATGAACCACAATCAATTGTGATGTTTGTTGCTCTTCAAAATCTTTCCCTGACCCCTACCATCTAGCAAACCATGAACTCTCCGTGGTAATCACGTCAGAGTATTTATCACCAAAACAGAAATTATTCGCGAGTTGTTTGTTGTTGAAGTTAGTTAGTGTCGAGACAACACATCACATTTTAACGTGAAAGTATTATGCGGATGGATGTGGATGACTGTAGATGTAAAAACTTTCCATCACATGTGCTTGCATGCTTACTTATCATGGAGCACGTGGCGGTAAGCAATTGCAGGTGAACGTGTTCAGGTGACAAAAAGTGTTAACCTGAGAGTGTTGCTCCGGTCGGCAGATGTTGATGGGAACGATTCTGCAACTGACTATCAACATTGTGAGATAGTGTGTGGGCTTGTGTACGTGTGTGTTTGTGTGTGTGCGTGTGTGTGCGTGTGTGTGTTGTTATGGTAGTAAAGTAACAATTTTTTTTAAGAATCGAATAAAATCAGATGGTCACACTCGAACGTTGTTTCTAAAGCTAGAAAATGTTGGCATAAAATATATGATAATGAAAAACGTCTCATAATGTTTTGAAATAAATAAATGTCTATGAATGTTACGAGCGTGTGCGTGTTGTTTGTTTATTTTGATTTGTGAGATTGTCAGTTCGAAAAAGAATTTTTTTGTATTACAGGTTTATTTTTCAATAAAAAAGCAAACGAAAGTAAAAAGATGCAACCTTAGAAGGGAATGTTATATTATATTTTTAATTTAATTCTAACGATTTTTTTATTATCTCATAATGAAAACAAATTTCGGCAGAACGCTTTATTGTATTTTTTTAACTGATTGTTTTTACGCGTCGAAATAAATTCATTCCACAAACTGGTCCTATTGGAATGAAAAAAGGATCAATTGTTAAAAGTTACCGTTGAATTTTTTAAATTAACGCTGCGAAAAGTGTGGACGGTTCGGTCTGATGGAATGTAAGGCGGGCGGGCGAGTAACGTACTTGAAAGAAATGAAAACTAATTACCCGGACTGACGCAAGGTCTCATTGTTAACACACACACACACACACACCCCACACACACACACACACATACTCACACAACCACACAAAAACTCTAACACACACACACACACATACTTACAAACACACACAAAAACTCAAACACACACACACAATCCCAAACACACATACACACAAACTCTAACACACACACATACACACATATACACACACTCAAACACACATACACACACATGTGAATTTTTATATAATATTAAATAACATGTTATGCACACACATAAATGGAATATTCACATGCACATATGCCATGCTAATAATTGTTTAATTACTTAAATTAGGAACAAAAAAATTAAAATAAAAAAAGTAGATTTAAAATTTGTTCTGGAAAATAAATAAAACATTTAAATTGCAAAAATCCTGAGAGAGTAAGATATCCTGTGTTGAAGCAAACGAATGAAGTGTAGGGCAACGCTAATTGAATTGGGATCGGTAACATCTGCGTTACGAACTTCCTCGCAGAGCGGAAAAAACAGAAGCAAATATTTTGACAGACAATTGTCATGGAAAAACATTTTCACTTGAAAATAGACTTAATCACGTAGTTACGACAAATTCACATTTTCTTACTGCTTTGTTTGTTTCCTTTTGAAAGCAATTCGTGAAAATATAGACGGTAGTGAATAAAACTAAAAACTCGCGCTATACTGTGAAATTTTACGGTTCATACAACGTTTGAAAACAAAATTTAAATACGGAACATTGGATCAGAATGAATTTAATGATTTATAAGATGAAATCTCGAACGCAATCACGATATGATGGACGGCAGATCATTCAAGACTCTGCTTCAAAGGGGAATGATGCCTGAACGAACGATCAATAACTATCTCTTACACATCTCTGTCCTTAACGGCACGTGCTCGTCCATTAGAACATTCATCCCGCCAATCGCAAAGTTCGTTCCATCTATCAATCAATCGTGGCACTCGTTCGCTCAATTTAACAGTCAAAAACACAAAATGTTATAAAGCCAGTTTTGATGAATAATTAGATTGAAATTAAATTAAAGATTTATTCGTTCCATCCATCATTCCTCAGCTGCAATGTCCTTCAGCAGTGGAGAGTAATTTGAAGTTTCATGATTGCTATGGAGTCTGTCAGACGAGTTTTACATTTATCAGACACATGTTCGTGTGTTGTGTTAACGTAATAATAAAATGCATCGTTTTAATGGTGGTGTGTGATTTTCGGAATGAGAAACAGAAAATATTTATGAAAAATGAAAATCATAAAACACAAGATCTTTACGCATCCACCCCGTTGTGCACACAAACATACACACCAACACATTATCATACACACTGGAAATTAAATAAAATTTAAACACCCCACCATCAGACACCCTACATCTGCAGCACATCCAGTCCAGCGTGCAAAAACTCGAACAGATTAGCCAATGAAATAGGAACATCTCAAGATTATTATTTCTATAGACCCAGAAGGATGAACACAAAGCAGGATCAATGCCCAAGACCCATGTTATTTTCCCAGCCAAGAAACAGCAACTTAACCACTACGAAGAAATCACCCACTACGGCGAGAAAACAGAAACCTGAGACTCGCAGCAACAAAATGTTGATCCAGGGAACTACAAAGAAGACCATTTGCAACATTATTTACACTGACACTCTTTGAAACACGCAATCAAAAAAACACTTTCACTGGCTCAAATGTTTTGAAAACATAACAATACGGAGCAAGCAAAAAGATGCAATCGAAAGAGCTATATTGAAAATTAATAAACGATGGCTGGCAACACGCGTCCTTGATTTATATAAGAGCAGATTCCGCTGGATATAGCGTGACCATTTTTAATAAAACTCCACTAAATTGCAGCTGAAATAAGCACATTACATTTTTATTGCTTGACTCTCAATGCTGAATCTCACTGAAAACACAAAAACTCAGAACGCAACGCGGCACGGGAGAACATTAAAAATATTCATGCGCTGTCCGATACCAGCCTGATGATGTATGCTCTCCCTGATGGCAATGCTTCTATTTATAAGAGTACAAGACGACCTATATGAAGAGCCTGCCCCTCTTCATACACAGAGCTAATCTCCCTTAATGCAGCGCTTAATCACTTGTCTCTTTTCAAAGTGCGAAACAAATGCACGCTTCATTAATTATATGCCAGATTAACGCGCACATTCGCAAACGACACAAACAACGAACACAAACAAACGAACACAAACAAACGAATACGAACAAACGAACACAAACAAACACAAACAAACAAATACGAACAAACGAACACAAACAAGCGAACACAAACAAACGAACACAAACAAACGAACACAAACAAATGAACACAAACAAACAAATACGAACAAACGAACACAAACAAGCGAACACAAACAAACGAACACAAACAAACGAACACAAACAAATGAACACAAACAAACGAACACAAACAAACGAACACAAATTTTAAACACACGAACGCTGATGAAATATAAAAGGTTAATATAAAAATAAGCATAATCGAAATCTATTTGACTGGAGTGATAATTTATAGTGCTACAGATCAATGTTGATATTTTATCTCTAAAATTTGGCGAGAGATTTGTATTAGAAAGCTTATTTTTATATAGCAACACAGTGGAAAAAATACGTACAAGTATCTACAGGTTTGTTTTGCAGGTTTGTTTTGCTGATTATTTGGAATTGTTTCGTCCGTTTTCAATTGTTTTATAAATGAGAATGTTAAATATTAGGTATTGTTTGTGTGTGAGCTTGCATGGGCATGTTGTTGCAAATATTTCAATAAATAACTTCATTTTAACTATTTTTTGTTCTAATTACCTCTACGTCATTATTAATTTGTTTCTAGGTTTTTTGTTTGAATGAACGAATAAAATTCATGTTTCGCTATAATATAGAGAAATCGCAAACTTTTTGTAAATATTGGTATGAACAAGATATTTTTTCAACAAACTCCCTATTCATAGAATTTAGTATATTCCAACAAATCATTCATTGACAAAGAAATCAAAGATCCAAGCTAAAAATGTTTTTGCCACGCAAAGCGGAAATGAAAAAATAAATGAATGGAAGGAAGAAATGGAGAAAGGCGTGTGTGGATTACTGCATTGTAAGCAGTTTCGCTTATTTCATTTCGCATCAATGTTCAATTAAATCGCGACGATTTTGCCAGATTTCTTTTAAATTATTCGTTGTCTAAATGGAGTAAAGCCAAATTTTTTTGATATGTGCACACATTTGTTCAATTGTACAATCAAATATTTCTAATCAAACTTGCTTCTCTTCAATAATTGAATTGGAGCCTTTCAATTTTATTTTAAATAAATTTTCAGTTTTGTACAAGCAACATTTTATTTGAATTTCAATAGAAAAAATTATAATTGTGACAATTTTTCATTTTTCATTATTTTGAAATCATTTTTTCTGCCAATAAATTAACTCATCAACTTCTAATTTAACATGATAACGGTCATCGTCAACTTGAACCCACACAACTTCTCCATCTATTCAGCCAGTCTCCATCTAGCCAGTCAGCCAGCCGACCAGCTAGCTACGCCAAGAGTTCGTTCATTTAAATTTTAATCAACAGCTCGGAAATAAAAGAAAAAATTGATCATTCAATGTAACCTCACATTTGTTTTACTATCTCTCTCAGTATAAACATTCAATTGGCTGGTCTGTTTAGTTTTTATTTATGTGAGAATAAATTAATTTAACAGCATTTCCAAATATTGACAACGTGCCAAATTTTTCCAGGCTTTCAATGAACTGATTTTTTTAAATTTGTTTTTTTGTATTTATTTTTTAATTAATTTCACTTGCAAATATTGAAGAAAAAAAATACACACATATTATTTCTTTTTATAAAAGAGGCGTTTAATAATATGTTTATTATGATTTAAATTTAGATGAGATCAGATAAACTTTATGTGCACGATGTGACAGGCAGAAAATGTTTAACTAGACCATTAGAATAAACGAAATAAAAATCATTATCGTTAGTCATCCGTCACAATTGATCAATCACAATCAGAATGTGTAAGACCTGCTAGGGTAAATAAATGTTACTTCAATAAAGGAAATAGTTCAATAACTACCTTCGTTTTAATGAATGCCACATGTGAATTTTGAGTCATTATATAATAATAATAACTAGTAGAGTAAGATCATAGGCCTATAAATGATTTTACGTAAGTTTGTTTAATAAATTCTTTCATAACTAAATTGTTGATTCTTTTATAAACCATCATTTGAATAAAAAGAATAATTTGTGAAAAAAAAATAATTAATTAGGTTATTTTCAGCAGGGGATTTTCAAATTAAATATGCTTCCAGCAACAAGTTCAGTAAACCAACAAATACACGATGGGTATAACAATTGGCATAAGCGCTCACAAAAGTTAAATCCATTCAAACCATTACTCAAACGCGTAAACAAAGATAATGTTAAAAATCTAAACACACGTTTGCATATGCACAGACACACGCACACACGTAGAAGTTTACACGCACAAATTTGTTCGCGTATACATTCGTTTCATTCTTTAATCTCACGCATATCCTCCTTGAATGTTCGGGTTTGCCATGTGCAGTGCAACAATGTGCTGCGTTTGTGTTTCTTTTCGTTTCGTGCGTACTGCGTTGAGCAATCTCACATTGTTTGTGGTTCTATTTCTATACAGATGTGAGTAGATCAGATTGGTGCATGAATAAACTAGCTTCGTACTTTATTTCTTATTTTAAAATACAAAACAATATCAATAGAATTCATGAATTATCTCAAAAGTTATAGTGTGGATGCTAAATTGTTGCCAGTTAGCCAGTAAGCTTGGGAGGACGGAACAACTCTGTGTTTGTGAAGAAATATTGCCTGGAATCTAAAAAAAAAAAAATTTTCAGTTAGATATTTGTTTGGACCTGTGTGTGCGTATGTGTGGCTTTATAAAAAAATGTGCATGCATGAGTGAGTACGTAACTGCGGAATTAATTAAATCACACCCATTCAAGTTCTATTACACAACTTCGTTTTGGGAGAGAGAAACGTTTTCATCATTTTTGTTCGCATGTTGTGACTGACTGTTTTTGCAAGAGTCTAATTTCAGTAATGTTAAATATAATAATAACATAATAGCTATGTGGCATGTGGCAGTGTGAGTGTGCTTGCGTATGTACGCTGAAACAACTTGTATGTATACAAACATTTGCAAACGAGCATGTCTGTCTAAATACATTTGCGAACATGTAGAGAAATGTTTGAAAGGGCAGTTGAGATGTGGGATTTGAAGCAAACGTACGGCTAATCTGCAGCATGTTGTTTAAGAATTCATCAATATGCATTGTTTGACGTAACTGCTGAACATGTGTTTGTACATTCATATACATGCATGTGCATATTTGTATGCACTTTGCAAGAACGGACATATGTGTAAATACATTTGTATGCATGAATGTATAACTTTATTACCACTTTTAATTGCTTATGTTCAAATAAATACATGTCTGTATCTATGGTGGTACGTGTATTAAAGCAGTGGATGTATGTGTGTATGTATGTATGTATGTATGTATGTATGTATGTATGTATGTATGTATGTATGTATGTATGTATGTGTGTGTGTATATATGTATGTATGTATGTATGTATGTATGTATGTATGTATGTATGTATGTATGTATGTATGTATGTATGTATGTATGTATGTATGTATGTATGTATGTATGTATGTATGTATGTATTATATTACATATATATCTTAATCTTAATAACTCTATACAAATGTATCAGTAAGTGTACTTGAAGCACATCGAGCGTAATGGCGTAGACCATTAAATGGCAGTTAAATGAATTTCAGCAAAAAGATAGCAACAACGTCAATAAAAAATATTACCAAAAGATCGGTGCTATCATATCATTGCTGCTGGTGATAACTTTAAGGCTGTCGATGGATTGTGCTCCAGAATAACTCACGGAAATAATAATCATGACGATAATATAAATTAAAATGAAAATAAGGTAACGTTAAAATAACATTGTACTTTTTATAATGTGATGCGTAGAAAATAATTGGCATCGTTTAAATAGAGCAAGCTTTTTGACAATTTAAAGACTGACCACTAGTACCTACAATGCCCTTCAAAATTGGGTTTTGTCAAAGTTCAAATTTAGCTTCTAGAAACCTTTTCTGGTTAACTCTAATTTTTTTCCTCTTCAAAAATTCTACATTAGTTCGACACCGGGTCTATACTATTTTTTTCCTAATAGACATCTGAAGCTATTTATCTAATTTACAACTCCGTACATACCATTCCTCTACATGTAACCAACTCACAATGGCGGATCTAGAAGGGGCGGGCAAGACCACTGCCCTTTCCAGTTGTGAACATTATTTGTATTAAAAGTTATTAAAAGTCATTGTTTTAACGATGAAATTGTGTTTTTGAAAGAAAATTGCCATTATAGGCCCCAAAAACGATGTTAATTAAAATTTTGACTACATTGACTACATTGCTATAAAAGTTGGTCTGCCCCGGTGGTGAAAATTGAAACATTTTTCAGACAAATTTGTAAAATTTCCGCCAACTCCCGCTCATTAACGTTTACTAGAAATTGAAAATCTTGCTTGGCCCCTCTCGTTCAAGGTGACACTGTCTACTAATAACGCTTTTTCTCAACACTTAATTCCACGCCCCGCTTCCAAACAAAGTTACAACAAACCAACATACAAACAAACAAACAAACAGACAGACAGACAGACAAACAAGCTAATTAAAAATCAATCTTACAGACATATTATCAGTTATCTTTAATCTTCTTAGATGAGTTTTCTTTTTAAACCGCAGCCAAACGGTTCCTTCCATTTTGTGAAATTATATAATCGCATCTACATTTTCTTCATTGAAATCATCAATTATAACTAATTATATATATTTATATCAAGTTTTATTAAATTTTTATTGTTTAATGAAAGTTAAATGTTTAAAAATCGGATATAAGTTCTTATTTTCCGCACCTGTTTGCAATGGAGCAGTATCCAACCTATCCTATCTTGCTCGGATATTTTGTAATTTACTACGCGACATAACATCACATCAGACTCCAACACATTACATTACATCACATCAAAGTAAATTTTCTCTCCTCATATCAGTTCCCTTTACATTCTTCAGCATCACATAACGTTTCATATCACCACGTATCGTCGCAACATATCTTATCACATCACACCACATCACCATCCAAGACCAACGACAACATCATTCTTCATATGGAAACATTATGTCCCTAGTAGCAAAGTTGTTTACATGACAATATTAATTATGTATGATTTATCGTTCCATTGATAAACAGAACATCGAAACATACAAACAAACTCAACAAACAAACGAACAAATGAACAAACACAACAACATTATTAACCAACAAAATTAAATTAAATTAAAACGATTCAACAGTCACGACAGACACTTCCACAACTAAACAAAAGAACAATCCAAAAAAAACCATTCAATCCGCAAAACTTTTAAAACAATAAATCAAACAAAAATCAAAAAACTTCAAACATCGTAAAAAAAACATAACTTAACCCAACAAATAACAACAAACAAATACATTGTATGTACAACAACAACCATTTCAAACAAAAACAACAACCAACGTATCAACAACAATGCCAACAACAACAACACAACAACAAACACATACAACAACAAACACATACAACAACAAACACATACAACAACAAACACATACAACAACAACATAACAACGGCAACAAACACATTCAACAACAGCAACAACAAATATGAACAGCAACAACAACACAAAAACAACAACAACACAAAAACAACAACAACTCACACAAGCCTTCTCTCTGACATCGACATGATCCTCCGACCACCACGTGTCCTTTCGTTGCGATGACGTCACGTCCGATGCCGAATCTGCATCCGCTAATGCCAAACATCTCTTTTTGCATTTTTGGCTACACGCACCGGAAGTTTCGCTTTCGTCATAGTAACTGTCGCCGTGTTGTTGTTTTGCTTTCATCGCGTTTTCCATTTGAACGATTGAAAGATTATCTCTGTGATGTATTTGGAAATATTTTGGATGATGAATGGATGGATGGTTGGATGCATAGATAAATGAATGGATAGATAGATAGTTAGATAGATAGATGAATGAATCTGTGAAAAAATTGGCAAATTAGTAATATAAATATGGATATTTTAATAGATAACAAACACATATGAACAAACAAACAGACGAGCAACACGTAATCGAATGAACCAACAAACGAACGAACAAACAGATAGGTGGTGAACCAGCAAACAAACAAATATGTCAACAAAAACATAAAAACGACTGAATAAGAAAATAATAACATATAAAAATAATAATGATCTGGCAAACAATTGTATAGTGTTAACCTCAACAACGAAGAAAGTAGTTTAAACATTCATAAATATTAATACTTGAACGTTACACGCATGCCTACGTTCCAGATAATAACATTCCTCCGGATATCTCTCTCTTCTATATAATGACCACCAGTTGGAAGGGAGAGATGGTGATGGCAAGAGAGGAAGAGAGAGAAAGAGAGAGAAAGAGAGAGAAAGTGAGAGAGAAAGAGGCAAGATAAGGAAAAAGAAAAAATTCTGAAAATATTTGAGAGAGAGAGAGAATAATAAAATATAATGTACAGCATAATACAGTATGCTGTGAATTAAAAATTAGAGATAAAAGAAAAACTGAAAGAAAGAAAAAAAAGAGAGTGAGGGAGAGAGAGAGAAACAGATGATGAAAATGACGACAATGATGAAGAAGATGACAATGAGCTCAAAAAGCGTTCCAACTTAAAATGAAAAATGAGAATGACAACTACTTCTTATAAAATAAACGAGATTTATTTCAGTTGTGTTTCTAAAAATAGTTTGTCAATTTTCATTACATGTATGTGTGTGTGTGCGCGCGTGTGTGCGTTTGCGTATGTTTGTTTGTGTTTGTGTGTGTGTGTTGTAGCGTTAGTGAAAATTCAAGATTTTAAAGTTAAAATTTAAAAAAATAATAACCATTTGAATTAATTGAACTTAATGTTTACACGTAATTCAAGAAATTCAATTAATTTACCGATTGATATTTAAATGAAATCCTTACCATAGCATTTTTTCATAAGGTCTAAAAACAGACACACACGCACACACGCATACATACATACAAAAACACACACATACATATAATTAAGATTATCAAATGAAACATATACAATGATACATAGTAATACATACACACAGACAAGCACACGCACACATACAAACACAAACACACACACACATACAATTAAAATTATCAAATGAAACATATACATTAATACATGCAGCATTGCTCTCACTTCCATGAGACTAAATGTCGGCGGTCGTCATCTATCATTTTGTAATTTATGAAATTACTGATAATCTATGAAGAACTTCATTAACGTGCCTACTGCTGGCTTCTTCTTCTTCTTCTTTTTCTTTTTCTTCTTCTTCTCTTTCATCATCAACATCTTCGTCATCATCATCTTCAAAACTATCTTCGCCATTTTCGTCATCATCTTCTCTATCGTTTTCGTCATCTTCATCATCATATTCGTCATCTTCATCATCGTCTTCGTCATCTTTATCATCCTCTTCGTCATTTTCCTCATCATCTTCGTCATCGTCATGATTACGATCGCTACAAGCAACATCATTGTCTTTCATATTAAAATCAATTAAATTTTAATCATTACCATCATCATTATCATAATGTGTATCATCATCATCATCATCGTCAATGCATTCGTCAACCATCCCAGCTAGAGAATGTCATTATAACCGGCAACATGCATGTTCTGTTCTTATAACCATTAAAAAACCACTATCACATTATCATAATTAACATAAATAAATATATCATGATTCTTATCATCATCTTCATTGTCGTCATCTTCATCATCATCGTCTTCATCATTATAATTATTGTCATCAAACTGAATGAAGTCATCATTATCATCGTCATCATCATGATCATTGTCTTCACCACCGTCTTCATCATCATCATTTTCTTCATCATCGACATCTTCATCATCATCGTCATCGTCTTCTTCATCACAGTTTCTGTCATCAATCTCACAAACGACATCATCATCGTCTTCATCATCAAGAACCTCATCATAGCATCATCGTCGTCGTCATCATCATCATCGTGATCATCATCGTCGTCGTCATCGTAATAATAATCACTGACATTCATCATAATTGCCTCCACAACATCTTCATCGAAAAAAATAATCGCTCTCCAAAAACGCGATAAATATAACCAGACATAACGGCGTTGGGGCCGATGATAGTGATGACGACGATGATGATGATAATAGTTGTAATAATGTAAAATTATGTTGATAGTAATGATGATGATATTATTTATTTACTTATAATTGGATGGGTGGAGGAATAAATAGATAGAAGTATAGATAGGCAGATGGATGGGGGGACAAATGAAGCAACAAGATATGTGACGTGCCACCCACATGTGCATTGAATTGATAATCTGCCAAGTAAATCACCTGACTCCTTCAATGTCAGTTTATCGCACTGCACACACACACACACACACACACATACACATACACTTTCTTTCTCTTTCTCTCTCACACACGCATGTACACTGAGATGCACGTGCATACATATAGACAAGAGCTCACACGCGCACAAATATATATCTCTATCATATTTTTATCACGTTTATACATTGCTACACTATTTTCCACAAATTACTATATTAATACTTATTCAAAATCTTAGATTTAAAGAAAAATGGCAAAACAGTTTGAGATTTGTGGATAGAAAAGGAGAGATGTGTTTGTGTATATGGAAAAGATGAGAATTTAATTTGGTGGGATTGTATTTTTTGCAGGCAATGGTGATGTGGATGGCCGATGGTATTAATTTTGATAGTTTTATTTTAGCTATAACGTTTCACCCCATTCTAATTTGTAAGTTTAATAAAATTAAATAATTCATTCTTTTTTTCAAAATTTTATATTAATAAAAATATTTTTGTTGAAAATGTTTTAAATAATTTTTAAATTTTTGGGCGAAACAATTTTTTAAACATTTGCAATTTGAGGTACATTAACTTTGATATAATTGCGGCATTTTTGAAAATTTTTGTTATCTTGAAATGATAGCTGAACGATGCATAGCTGTTGATTTTTCGTAAGATGTTTAAAGTTCTTGGCGTGTATATTTTTATGTGTGTGTGTCTGTTTGTGTATGTGTGTGTGTGTCTGTTTGTGTATGTGTGTGTGCGTGTGCATGTGTGTGTGTGTGTGTCCATGGTATGCTTGAACGTCGGTCATGTAGTGCAAACGTTCGTGATTGTGACCATAATGAGGATGTGATAACGACAATGGAGTTGCTGATAATAATGAACATTATCACTATACCCTCTTAGATATTCTTAGATATTTCTCTGATGTTAAGAGATTAAAGATACTGATGTTGTTGGAAAGGTTGGATAATGTGATGGTGATGGTCGAAGGCATAGGCGAGGGGGGAGGGGGCTTTGGAGCTGAAGCCTCCACGCCTCCTACAATGGGAAATTTCGCTAGGGTTTAAACTAAATTGCTTGTGATCTTTATAAAACAAATGATAACACTGATAATAAAATGTTTAGTGTTGAAACCTCTGTCGGGATACATTTTTCCTTTTATGTCTTTTCTAATTTCCATGCAAGAAAAATGCCTTGTGATTAATTATTACTGACACCCTTGTAGTTTTAGAAGAAAAAATAATGAAAAACCAAGAGATTATGCAAAATTAATTTTCGGTCAAGTGAAAATTTTTACAAAAATTATGTTTATATTTTTTAAGCTAAAAAAGTTTCTATTTCGTTTTGGCACGCCAATGGGCGATAGTGATGATTAGCAAAAGATAGCTGAATGGTAAAGTGTTCGGTACTGCGTTTCAGTCATCGGGTTCGAACGCTAGAGAAAACTTAAAAACAACTACTTAAACGTTTAAAAATGTTCATTAAATCGTCTTCGTGAACGTTGTTTATCTTGATTATTGATGCTTAAAAACTAAAACTGAAGAAAAAATAGAAGGATGTCTCTTGAAATGAATTAGGTGCTATTTATAAGGGTATGGAAGGGAAGACATCGCAGCGATTATGGAAGAAAAACATGGAAACACTTTTTTAAACTTATACATTGAATGTTTTCAACTTATGCACCAAATGTTTGTTTCAGTCATGCCACACTTGTCCAGTAATAAAACATAAAAAAATAGGATAGGCATTTCATCGACTAAGATCCAAGTAGTTGTCAATTATCAATAATAAATAGCAACTGAAGTCGTTTAAACATCATGCAATCATTCTTCAATCACATTTGCAACCGGTGCATTTTACACACACACACACAAATTCATGGTGTTATATCAATTGATGACCTAGTAAAAAAATTTTGATTGAAAGAATGAAGTGGCAAGTTGAAAAACCCACAAGTAAGGACAGATGCATTCATGGGATATCTCCTCAAAGCACATTGTTGGGCTTGTTAATAAATATATCTCTTGTTTGCTTGGAAAGAGAGTTGGTTAGGAAAGAGAGTTGGTTAAGAGATGGAGTTTGTTAATTTCTGAAAAAAATTATATATTTTTTTTTAATCATCTTCAGTAGCATGACAAAATATTGAATGACCAGTTGTTTACAATCACTTATTAACCCTAACTTTAAACTTAATTCTGACATAAAAAACAACAACATTACTAGAATAGAAAAAAACGGAACCAAAAAAAACTTACTGAGTTTTGTAGTCTCAAATGCGATAGAGCATCTACAACGACAACCGCAATGTCTTCATCGATGTGTCTCAACATACAAACAAACAACAAATTTTCAAATAGAATGACGTTGTGCCTCTGTGGCTACAACGACAACAACAACAACAATACATCATATATCAACAACAACGATAATGCATCATACGTCAATGACAAGAATGACATCACCGGACGAGCAAAGACATCATCAACATAAGGAGAGCATCATGAACATCAACAAAAGAAGCAGTAGTAGCGCGGAAAGACTGTGTTTGATGGATATTTCGTGTGATTTATTGTTTTCAATTTTACTCTGACGTAGATTTATTGTCATGTCTTCAGTGAACGTTCAAGAAAGTATAATGTTACATTACAACGGCTTGCACACGATATCACATCAACTTGTCCCAACAACGTCAACTAAAAAACAACCACATGACATTACATCAAATCATTACAACAACATCAACTCCACACAACTACTCAAAATTACATCAAGCCGATACAGAAATACAACAAAAAATAATCTTACTACGACATTAAATTGACAAAACACTTGCAAAAATTTATTTAAGTTTTTCGGTAATAGGAAGCGGAAAAAGCGTAAGTACCACATCAATTATTTTTGAACGTTGCAACTCTGAGAAGCCAAATCGAGAACAAAAACAGAAACCACTACAAATGCAAATAGAAATTCCGGAAGCAAAAAAACGATTATATCAACTTTGTTTGAGAATGATGAAACAAGTTCTTAACAGTACACACAAAAAAAAAAAACAGGCGACAAAAATATATCTGCGGAAGTCATTCATCAGCTCGGCATCAACATCAAACGGTGACCGACATAATAAAAATGTGCACAATATTGCAGACCCATCCATCTAACTCGCTGGACACTGCAGGGGGCGGCAAACATCTCAACACAACCAAACGACGGAACGACACATCTTCACATTTAGCAGCTCAACATTCAACAACACAACACCGACAAGACAGCTGATGTGGAGTAGGTTTCATCAACATTACGCTTTCTTAATAAAATCACAAACACTTATATCAATATTTTCTTAAAATCAGCTCACAACATCGCATGAGTAAATTTACCCGAACGTTATGCCATTAGTCTAACAAGTTTGTTGACGAGTAGGCTCGTGCAGTAGGAGTGCCATCCTGCCTCACTCACTTGTTATTGCGCCATGACCCGGTTTGAACGAACGTTGTCTCTAAGGAGAACGAAGAATATCATTCACCAATTCTGTGTTAAGCTTGAGAACTCAGATGTGTTGTTTAGTTGTCCTGCTGAATATGTCCAGCACTTCTCGTGAGTTAGCTTCAAGAGCGATGTGTGTATATGAAGAAATGTAAATGGTTGAGCAGACAGATGTTTTGATTTAGAAAATTTAACTGCGATCGTAAGAGAAGGAAGCATTATTTGAAATAAGCACTGCAATAATAAAATAATTAATAATAAATAATAATGAAATAATTAGTCATAGTTATAGTTTGTCATCAAACAAACATTTTATAAATAACGCTGGAATAAATTACTAAACCATCTTGATTGCAATAACGATGTAAAAGCGTTTAAGAAAACATTATTAAATAATCAAAACTGCAACAACTCCCAAGACGCGCCATCAATATTACACCATCACCAAATAAATAATCAAGAAATGTCATCAACAGTCACACGAGATCCTGCCACACTAAAACACTACACTTTGTTTGCCATCACGCTATATCACATCCCATCACACATCACATCAGATTACATAACATTATCGCATTATCACATCACACTCCATCACATTACATCAGATTACACCGCATCTCATCACATCATCACATCACAACCAATCATACTCATCTCGTACATAAGGACAAATTGTTGCTTA